TAGTAGTAGTAGAAATAGTAGTGGGACCCTGATTTAAAGAACTACAGGAGAAGGTTAGAAGCTGGGGTTTAGGGTTCTATCATCCAAGAGGGTCCATGCGTACTACTCTCCTGGAATTAGGCAGGACCATACTAAGGATGGTCTTTTTGTGAACCTGGAGCCATGTTCCAGGGCTGTAGGGAATTAAGCAGATGCCAACAAGTCAACACATGATGATCCTGATACGATGAGGCCAAAGCATATGGAATTGTTGTACTATCATTCTAAATTCAAGGTCCCACTTTCTGGACTTCACTGCACCAATCAGAATAGGACTTTCGGTGCTATATTATGCTAAAACAGAATCATAAGAATAAGGAACCCGAGGCACTAGTGTGGCAAAGAATTCACGCCCTGCATCACGGACCCTGAAACCCAAAACTATCGTCCCTTCATCCGACTAAGACCATACCGCTCCAAAAGAAGGATCGATATGTAGCCTGAAGCCCGGAAACTGGCCTGGATGTCGATGTCCGTGTTGACGCGAGGGTTGTCCCTTGCCAACCAGGTCTTCTGATTCTGAGCCCCCTGAGTTTTCTGTACAACCTCCCTTCAATCTTGCCCTACACCGCTCACCGATTGATTCAGCTCCTGCAAACTTATAAAACACTCCAGGAGCCTGCTGCGACATTCCGAGAGCAGCAAAAGGGCCGTAACAATCAGACAGACTTGTGGGTGTCCACTACACTACAATCATTTTCGCGACTGTAAGACAATGTGGGGGAGCATTGATACCACTCATTCAGACCTTTCTCTTGCCCAAAAACCTGGCACAGCACCATCTCTGAGGTGCACGACTCCTGCCCATCTAAGTTGGAGGAGCAAACATCACAAGAGCTTCGGGTTTAGTACCCGTAAACCCTAAGCCCTCAACCCTAAACTTTAAACCTTCAACAATGAAGCAACACCCTCCAAGGATCGAGCGGTCCTCAGTTCAGATCTGTTAAAACTCGAAGCCCGCCCCTGAAGAGCAGGCTATGAGTATGCTTATGATCATTACCACTATATGTGCTCCTAATGTATTGTCATTACCATTATTGTAATTGTATAAGTTATTGCTAGTGTGTTTAGTGTAAGCAATATTGTTGCTATTGGTGTTTTGAGCCGTTCTTGTTAGCACGGGCCTGCTCAGTAACCGCCCTGAATCTCTGAAAGGCCCTGCCGAAATCGGAGCTCACATGTACAATACCCCTCAACCCTAAACCCTGGACGTTCAGGGCTAGGGGTTGCGAGGCTTTGGGAAGCTCCGGACGGCCCCGAGTTTTATGGAGGTGCAGTTACGAGTTTAGGGCGGATGGTCCTAAGGGTTCAGGGTTTAGGGGTTTAGGTTCAGGGTTTAGGGTTTAGGGTTTAGGGGCTTGGGATGCCTGAGATACTGGTTCTTCGCCGAGTTGTTGTAGTTCTGAATCTGCGATGCTGGCGACTCGAACAGCTGCAATGCCACGTACCTTTCTCAAGGTTGAACGCAAGATCCGGTATTGGAAAGCATTGCAAGGATTTGGGGTTGGGAGACTAGCGTTTAGGGTTTAGGGGTTTAGGGTTTAGCATTTAGGGGTGTAGGGTTTAGGAGTTTAGGGTTTAGGGTATGGTCTCGTAGGATCAACCTGGAATTCGTTCAGGGTCGAGGGCTTAGGGTTTACAACTTTAACGAGTGGGAATGGGCTGCCTGCTGTGCTCGGGCCTATGGAAATATTACTTTCAATGGTGAGGAGAACATCAGGCGGCTCGTCCCATCGCCTCAGCAAAATCGGTGATGACACACCCCTCGCCAGAAAAGAAGAAGCGAATTCCACCCTGTAATCATCCACCCCCGCTGAGAAGCGCACCCTAAACCCTAAACCCTTAACCCGAAACCCGAAACCCTAAACCCTAAACCCTAAACCCAAAACCGATTCCATAGAAGGAAGGCAGCTGGCAGTAGCGTAGTCCTTGGCAGGAAGAGGCGGCCAAGATGCATTGAAGTGAAGCATCGAGGCGAAGAAATTCAGGCATTGTCTTTGCATCATGGACTGGCACCCAGAGAGCCCAATATTGCCAATACCCCTTAATTAAGGATGATATTTCTTTAAATCATGATAATAAGCCCCTTATAGTTTAAGGTATATTGCTTAACTAAGGGGTTTTTGGGCTCTTTAGGAAGATCTGCAGAGTTTGAGAGATGTTTCCTCGCTCCCTGGCAAGTGCCCATGCTTGTCAGAGGCAGGATGTCGCCGTGGCTCCTCTGCGGAAAGCCTTCGGGCCTGGCGTCCCGGTTGCCCCGCAACCAAGACAACCACAGTAGTTGAAATGACACGCGCTTGGGGCGGCTGGTTGTACCCATAGGCCCCATAGTAGTTCCTTTTTGGGGTTACCCTATAGGATTCTATATATGAACCCCAAAAAGGAATTACTTTAGGGCCTATGGGTAGATTCTAGAACCGCGGTGTGCACATGGCCTCATAGTCAAGGGCATTGCCTGCCCGTGGTGCTGCTGGAGCCGCTAGACCTCCTGTCACTCATGGCCTCGCCGACCCCTAAACCTTACACCCCTATAAACCCTAAACCCTAAACTTCCTAAACGCCCTAAACTCTAAACCATCAAACCTTTGACCCTAAACATCCCATCTTCGGCTGCCGGAAGCCCCCCAATCCAGACCTACACAAACTGAAAGGATCCCTAAACATCCCTAAACCCTGCATACAGCCCTATAAACCCTAAACCATTAAACCTTTAAGCCTAAACCCCTACATAAAGCCCTAAAAACCGTAAACCCCAAACCCAAATGCGGGTCGGCTTCCGGGGTCTGAAGGCGATAGGGCTTGAGACAAGTCACGGGCAGCGGAGAACGCCCGAAATCCCGAAACCCTAAACCTAAACGACGTGGTAAAAGGTTTCGTTTCGAGGGTTTCAGTATAGTGGTTAAGACTGAGGGTTTAGGGCCCGAATTCGACGATTCGAGTTGGAGCGGGGTTGGGGTCATCGGCGGGTTCATCTCGGAGAGTGCGGTGTGGATGGACCCGAGGCTGTATCCAATTTAGTTTGGGCCCCAAAGTTTACGGTGTCCGGCCTCAACAGTCCAGTGCATAGAGCACGTAGTGTAGCTTACCCTACACCCTTAAAGGCGTAATGTAGGGGTCTTAATAATTAGACTAGGTTTTTGGTGTATATTATGCGGTAATTGTAATAACGAGCCCCAAAAATAGTATTGGTGATCATTTAGGCACCTACATTAATCTTGTGAATCCGTTGGCTCTAGGTTTGAGGGTCTGCCAAGTTTTGTACGGACTTCCCTACTCTATGAGGGCCCCAGCAGTTCCTGTTTGCAGTTGTGGTTATTTCCTACCTGTAAGTGCATGGGGAGTCTGATAAGAAATCAGGGGCCCTTCCAGCAACCCTGTATACTAGGGTTTAGGGTTTAGGGTTTCAGTATACTCCAGGACTTCAAAACATCCGAAAGTCAGCAAAGTAGGCTTACAACCACGGCGACTACTGGTCTGACGTACAACTAAGCTACTTGTAGCCCTACTTCTAATCTGCCAAGGATCCTGAGCCGACTCTCCCCCAAAAAATAACACCTTCTAAAGACCACTGAAAGAATGCTTATAGCATCTTTGGACCAGGCTGGGAACCCAAAACCCCTAAACCCAAAACCCCTAAACCCAGAACCCCTAAACCCAAGACCCCTAAACCCTAAAACCCTAAACCCATAAACCCCTAAACCCTAAAACCCTAAACCCTAAACCCATAAACCCTAAACCCTAAACCCCAAACCCCTAAACCCAAAACTCCTAAACCCATAAACCCTAACCCCTAAACCCATAACCCATAAACCCTAAACCCTACCCATAACCCCATAACCCCTAAACC